TTTTTTTTTTTTTTTTTTTTTTTTTTTTTTTTTTTTTTTTTTTTTTTTTTCCCCCTACCGTGTATGAATTACTACGCAATGTTTCTGTTCTCCTTTGAGGTCTGGTTCTGAGATTGGAGGTTACTGGTGGATTCGATAAGTTTTGGATTACGTGCGACTCGGAGTGTCCCTGGTCAATTTGTTAGGCCCGGTGCGAGGATTGTATCGTGCTCTTGGTTTCGCGATGGTTTCGGGTATGAGTTGTCGTAGGAGTGTGTTTCCTTTACTCTTATCTAGTAAGGAGTGTGGCGAGTCATTTTTTACTGGCTTTGGACGCGATTTGTTTTTTTTACGATAGTGAATCTGGTCCCGTTTTATGAGCACTAAGCGGTAGTTTGGTGACGTTTTGGTCTGTCGGAGAGCTCTTTGAGTTTTCTGACTCTCCCTAGCTAATGGTACTTAAATCTTTGTTGTCATGTCCTATCTACCGACTTAGACCCCTGAAGAGTCCTGGTTGGCGACCAGGCGAAACTGGTCGGGTCGTAACGCCGCGCGGAGCTTCTGTTCCGCTTCCTGTTCATCACGTTTATTTTCAATACAGTAGCGTTCGGGACATGACTCTCTTTGACTCTTCTACTTCCTCCTACCTATCTTCCCCTACCTCTTCTCCTTTGCAGTTATCGTGGATGTTATGAGTGACTATTGCTTGGAGTTGGACTTGTCTTTCTTGCTAGCTATGTGCATGCTTTGCGTGTCATACCACACATGGCTGAGTTGCAATACCAAATCGGCGCGACGATTATTTCACAGTCTTAAGGATTTTTTGTAAATTTTTTGATATTTTTCCTGAAGAGATCATGACCTAATCTATGGATTCTCAAATTTTAAGATTTTTTCTCCAATACCTCCAAGTACAAAAAATTGCCGAAGTTCCCTCATGAAAATTGCAGGATTGGACCCACCGATACCCTCCACCTTGGACAGCCTGCGCATGGAAGTCCCGACAACGCCTCCCCTTCTTACTTCTTTTTGGGGTCCGCTTCCACATGATGACTGTTCATTCCTTTCCAAAGCTTTTGGTTCTAGAGAGCTAATTGTAGGTCATCCGCAATATTGTCAAAGACTAGTCCAAAGAGAATTTTTAACCCCTAAGAGCCCACTTGTGTGTTGGTTGCCCACCACCTAAAATACCTCATCTTGACATAAACGTCGAAGCCCACTATGCCACAACCCTTAGAGCTGCGAAATAGGACATATGAGGGTCATTCTAGTGCTTGCAGACGATTGGCACCCGCCTCCTGGAAAGTGCCCTACATATAAGTTTTAGCGGTTTTTTTCGGGGGGGGCAACAATGGTTGCCAACCGACGAGAGGTGGTTAATGGGCTAACTTTCCAATTTCAAAAATTTTCAAAAATCTCATCAGGTGAAATTTCAATGCCCCAAATGATACCAAATCATGCAAAAAAAATAATGATAAAATTTGATCCCCAAACCCGAATTTCAGTTCAACCACTCGTGCGACCGGCGGGCTTAATCCCAGGATTTCAAAGAGGAGACTTT